ATTTTTGGCTTTCGGCTGCACGTAAACTTTTAGTGAGGAGTCTACACACAGTTTTGTGAAAGAGACCTCTGCACTTTATGTCCACTTTGGATGTTTAAAGGGCTCTATTAATAAATTTTGATTGATTGATTGAGTTTGAGGCATATCCTGGAGAATGCCACTAGCCAAGTCCTGAAACACACAGCAAAGCTCTGCAGCGCCAATGGCGGGGAGCACTTGCGGAGGCACAGGGTTTATATGCTCTGAGTTATCTTCATTACACAGGTTTGATATATGTTAGAAACAAATGTGTTGAAACATAGTTGTAAGAGTTTTATGTTCTATGTTAAGGTTTAAGTAAGCGCTAGATATCTAGCAGTATCTTCGCCATTGTCGTGTTGTTTCAGTGTTATTAATACTGTAGCTCAAGGGTCGGTAAATAAATTTGTGTGTCTGGTTAGCTCAGTCAGTAGTGCACGGTAGAATGTCTTTAAGATCTTTTCAAAGTAAGAGTAAGTAAGTAAGCTCTCAATTCAACTCAAAATGAAGCATTGGTGCAAACAACTTTTCTGCGCTTTTAGTTTGTAGGCACCATCACTTAAGAGGAAGTGATTATGTGAGTAACTGTATCTGTCATGACAGATCTATTTCAGCACCAGCCACTATTAAATTATTTATTTATTTATGTATTTCATTTGGCATGTGAGACTATTGCCGACCACTGCTGTGGGTGAAACCAATGTGAGATACACATTTTGAACAAAAAGTGCAGGGAGGCGTCACATCGGCCCCTATGAACAGGCACTGCACTAGTCCTTCAAAAGTTTAAAAGCAGGGTAGACAAAAGGGAGGGGGTATCTGTGTTCGCCATGGTGATGCCATTCAAGCCACGGCAATCAATAAAGGGGCAGAGAATCTTATCCTTTTTGTCCACAAAGAAGAACCAGCAGGGTTGATGGTCGAATAATCCCGAATAGATCACCTTTGGGATTTGGTGGAACAGGAGATTTGCATCATGGATGTGCAGCCGACAAATCTGCAGCAACTGTGCGATGCTATCATGTCAATATGGACTAAAGTCTTTGGGGAATGTCTCTAAATCCTTGTTGAAAGTATGCCACAAATAATTAAGTTCTGAAGGCAAAAGGGGGTCCAACCCTGTACTAGTGAGGTGTACCTAATAAAGTGGTGAGTGAGTGTATGTTCAAACGAGCATGGCTGACCTCTCGGAGGTGACCAGGAATTAAGTAAGTGGTTGATGAGGATGCAAAGAGTTTGCTCAAGTATTGTTGAACACCTTAAGATGCAGATTATAGGAGGGAACAATGGACAGGTCTGGAAACCCAAAGCCAACCAGCCACCGCAGAAGAATAACAATCTGAACCTCCAGAAGGCACTGACACATCAGAAGGGGCAGGATCCACAAAAAAGAGACTTGGAATCAAAAGCAGATGAACAGCATGTTACACCACACTCTTCATCATATTTAATAACCTCACCGGTGGACCTGTTCATGTGTGGATTATGCTTGGTGTAAACCACAGCAGGCCCAGAATGAGATTGTGATTACCTGAGATGAGGAGCTGTACAGGCTAGGTGCAATGAGTGACTTTCATTAGATGGCGGGCCAGAACATAGGCTAATCAATTTATCATTTATAATCCGTCATTTACAGTGTGCTTGTTTAGTTAGTGCACAGGACTCCCGTTCAAGGGTTTTTGCCACTATCAAAGTAATCTGGCCATGGGCCAGATATTATTGCTGGCGGGCCAGCTTTGGCCCACATGCCGCCTATTGCCGACCACTGCGATAGACCACCATCGAGATTCTTGGCTTCAAATTGTTTGGGCAGAGGCACCAAGTAAAGGCAGGGAGTCTTAGCTTACCTCAAATCCAAAAAACTTTCATCAGTTCCAGAATCTATCAACGCAGGATGAGAGTTTTAAAGGGGTGTCAAGTTGAGCCTGAGTAAGAGGTAGAAATAATTAGATGTGGATGTTTGGCACACCAGCACTGGCAAGCAGAGCCATTATCAGGGTTTAGAAATTAGTAAGGTCCAGATTTTTTTATTCTTTTAATAAAAAAAAATATTTTGGGTAATTCATTCCAAAATTAGGCCTACAGCTAAACTCAACTAAAGTTATACACTACAGTCACACAAACTAATGAACGTTGGCAAAAAATGCTTTTATTAATTGAAGTTAATTTGTTAACTTAGGTTCGGGAGCAGGACCACGCCTAAACCACACCTCTAATCACCAGACAAGTCTATCTATACCCATGCTACACAGCTGGCCTTGTTTGTCTCTTTTGTTCTCTTCTTGTGTGTGTATGTGTGAAATGAAAGGTTAAACTAAGCAGTGAGCAAAGCATTATGTTTGGTTAAGAAAACACTAACTGCATCACAGTCTTTTTCCTTCACTGGTGGTCTCACTAAAATTCTTTAAAATAAGAGATACAGACAGACAAGCTATGATCAGGTAGTGCCTGTAGTCTATAGCCTGGTAGTCTTCACAACATGCATTACGCAAAATTTCTCTCAAATGTAGCCTACAACTGTCATCACAGGACTTTGTTAGAATGAGGTGCAGACTACATAATTTTTATTACTATATGATAACATAAAATACAGCAGCTTAGTGCTGAATGGAGAGGGTGCACTGGTTGATAATACAGCCTAATAATTTGACATCAGCAGCTGTTTGCACTATTTCATCAAGATTATAGCAGCTGAATTGGTGGGATGCATGGATCGGCTCTGACGAGAGAGGATCGGCTCTGACGAGAGAGTCATTTAAAACTTTTCCATGCGCGCAGTAAAGTCACAGCAATGACCGGAGGACATTGTAGCAGCAAAACTGAAAAACTGTCATTATAAACCTGACAGGACAGACAAAGGAAACTCTGCAGAGGAAATGGAATTCAACTTTTAGACTCTTTAAACGGCTGCTGATTTAAATATGAATTTATGCTGCTGTAGCTCGTGCGTTAATGCGCTTCATCCTATTTCACCCACCTGGAAATTCACAAACTGTATTTATGGCCCAAAAGTCTGCCCTCAAACAGTGGAGAGTTACGACGGTGTAATCAGTAACATCTGCATGGTCCTAAAGCCTTCATTTAGGTTGATTGTGTTATCAATGGATTTTTATTCAAATGATTTTATTGATAGGCTATAGCCTTCATATAATTAGGGGTCCAGACCTCTGTGACCTCATTGCTGGTTACGGCCATGCTGACAAGTCTTTTCTTTTACCTTTAATCTGTCAGTCAGGTCCTGGTGCTCACAATGGCCCTCATTTATGAAAAGTGCGTACACTAAATTTCCAGTGTACACCTGGCGTACACCCACAACCACAGTGACTTTGAGATTTATCAGTATAGACGTTGGCGTACGGCACGCTCAAATCCTACGCCAGCTCAGGAGGTGGTGTACATGTACGCAAGTTTTGAGTTAGTGCGGAAATGCGCAGAAAAACAATTCCTAATTAATGTTTCAAACGTTGTTTCTGTTACAGTGGGTCATAATGTATCATTTTATTAGTTAGGAAATGATTTCACAACATTCTAGTTTTAAGTTTTAGTTTAAGATTTTAAGTTTAGTTTTTTAAGGACACCGAGACCATTTTACACGCCTTCATCTCATCACGCCTGGATTATTGCAACAGCCTTTTCACCTGTGTAACCCAAAAATCTACTGATCGACTCCAGACTGTCCAGAACTCAGCTGCCAGGCTTTTAACCAGAACAAAGATATATGACCACATAACTCCTATTTTAGCTTCATTACACTGGCTCCCAGTATGTTTTAGAATTGACTTTAAAATTCTATTGATCACTTTTAAAGCTCTTCATGGCCTCTCGCCTTGTTATATTTCTGAACTTTTAGTCCCATACGCACCAGCACGTACCTTGAGATCCTCGGGCAGAGGTCTGTTGTCTGTTCCAGAGTCTCAACTGAAAACTAAAGGGGACAGAGCGTTTGCTGTCAGGGCCCCGAGGCTCTGGAACAGCCTGCCCGAGGAAATCAGGTCAGCTGAGTCAGTGAACTCTTTTATGTCCCTTCTTAAAACATACTTTTATAGGAGAGACTTTCCCGATCTTATTTGACTTTATTTTATCCCTTTTATTTTATTCTATTTTACTAATTTTATATTTATCTTAACGTGTATTTTAGTCTTTTCAATGTTTTCATGCTTTTATCTTGTATTGTTTTTGTATTATTGTCTTTTGGGTATTATTGTCTTTACACCTGTTAAAGCACTTTGTAACCTGTTTTTGAAAAGTGCTCTACAAATAAAGATTATTATTATTATTATTATTATCCACGCACCTATGTGGAAAGCCATGAGGCAGAGGTTTTGTGACTTTTTTCCATTGTGTTTTGCCATCAAGCCATTAACCACTTGCTGCTTCTGCTCCTACCAACCTAGTGATTAAGAAGCATCCGACTCTTCTTGCAGAAGAAAGAAGAAAAAAAGCTTTATGGGTGAATGCCGCAGCCTTTAATCAAAATTCAGACACAAATAGGTGTTTTAATTTTACAGGAATTGTACAAGGTTAAACATGCCCTGATACATTTTCTGTTTACCCACCAACAATTGCAAAACATCACACAAGAGACAATTTAAATTCACAAAAGAATTTGCATTCTGATCATTGTAAAGTTTCTGATTTAAATTATACAAACCACAATCTTCTCACAGAATATAGCTATACGTGATTACATAAATTCAATGTGTACACTAAATGAAACCTAAACATAAATTTCACATGCTTTTGAAAGTTACAGAAAGGTTTAGATAGTTTGAAGGTCAGAGTAAAACAACACCATTTTGAATCATCTTTGCTTGTAAAATGACCTGTGTTGATGACAACTAACTTCACAGACATCTCACATTTGAATTTCTCAATCTGCACGTTTCAAAATAAAATTCATTCAGACAATGGTGAAGGTGATTTTACTTTCCAGTGTGGATTTTACTTGTTTAACATGACTTAAGAACATAATTAGTACTGACAGTTAAATATTGCTATAGCACAGTGCTCAGAGAAGCAAGATGCATTTATACATTACATTTTATATAAAAAGTCAAAGAGTGCAACCATTTCTGACATCCCAGGGCTTAACAGACAGTATTGTTATTTTGTTTAGGTTGTTATTGTAGTGATGATTCAATGGGCCAGGTGCTTAAAGTTGGCTGTGTCATTCTACATACAAGAGCAAAGACAATCATGAATCTTGGATTTTTACCGACAACAAAGTCCTTGTTCATACCAGTAATGGCAGTCATAGTCTGCTGGCAATTCAAATGGTAATCAGCACTGATGCTATTGCTGGCTTGATAGTATCCATGACAACAGTACCAGGCAGGATGCAGTAATGAGACTGATGTTGTGGCTCACTCCACTTGATTCTGTAAATTCTGTAAAAAGTAAACAAAACATTAGTTAAATAAACAGTTGTTCAACATTTTGACATTTTTGAAGAAGTAGAACACAATATAGCTTACGGGCGCCATTCACGGTGATTGAGCTGCCTTCAATGTCGAAGCCAGTGACGTTTAAACGTTGACTGATCAAAACCCTCCCAATCTGAGTTTTACTGGGAACAGATGTGCTTGCAAAGAGAAGGTTCATGTCATTGATGACTGATCCACTTCTGCAGATGGAGAAACACAAAATATTTTTGAAATATCAGATTTTGGTCACTACTCTGAAATTGTAACACGGTAAGTCTTAACAAATTACCTGAATGACACCACGTCCAAGGAACTGAAGGAGGAAGGGAATGCCTTTTGGAACGCAGGTTCAAGCTGCAGAAACAGAAAACAAATTTTACTTAAACACATTTCACATATATGTTTGCCTAAGTTGTACAGTGAGCTGGAGGTGTAGTTTAGTTATCTTCGCTCTTTATTTCATATAATAATTATCATTATTCTGCAGCAGCATAAATGTACCTGTATTTTCGTCAGGAAATGCAAATTTCTAGTTTGTCATTATATTTACCCCTTTCATAGGCTTTCTAGCAAGCCTTATTTTACTTTGCTTTTTTTCTGTACTTTCTGTAGCGCAGAAAACTAACTGTGTCCAGGATTCCGACAGACAGGAGGAAAAATAATGATGAGAACCACCACAGGATTAAAAAACATAATAGATGACCTATTAATTTTTTTCAGTAACATTACATTTCTTCACGTGTATTTCTGGGCAGTGTGCACATTTTTTCAGCTGGTATTGGATTCTTTTCTATGTGGGGAATTTCTACTTGGGGAATTGGCCATTATATTTATTATATATTGGCCATGCCTTAATGCTTATTTTCGAAGGTTACTAAGTTTATTTATACTTTAAGAAACTTGGTTTTAGTGATAACATTATTTACTAAGACTATAGGGAACAATGGAGTAAGTAAATTATACTATTTTTGTAAATACTTGTTACTTACTGGAAAACAAAGATTTGGAAAAAATTAACACCTAGAAATATACAAACCTAGAAAGATACAAAAATAAATACTGAAGTAAAAAGAGTACTAGCTGTATTTTAAAATGTTACCATAACCTTTTAGTTCTCAGGTTTGAGCTCTCTGTTGAAAAAGTTCAGTAATTGTACCAGAAGATTTTATTATTTTATTATATTATTAAGAGTTTAACTTACCTGTGTCTTTATCAATGAAACTCGATCTCTAAATGCTGCAGATGATTGATTGTTCAAGTCACTTGTAAATGTGCTTTGAAGAGATCTGAAAGTCACCGCTGTTGTAATGAGTGCTACAGTTGTAGGTGCGGTAACTGTAGATGGAACTGGACCTGCTATAAAACATTTAAAAAACAATAAATTAATAAGAATTCGAAACAAAAATGATTTGTTTATATTTGTAAAACTGACTTTGGTGCCAGTTTCACTGATTTGTAAAGGACCATCATAAAGGGCATAGAAAGAGAGCTTCTTTAGCTTCTTGTCTAGTTGAACAGAGAGATTAAACTGTCCGACACTGAACAGTTTTTTTATACCTTTGTTTCCTGTGCAGCAGCATAATATTTCAATAACTTTTTTAAATACTGCATGAGCATCACGTTATTTCAAATGTTTTACATACTGATTAGAGTAATACATTGTGTTGTGTTTACTTACCTATTATTTTGACTCTGTTGGGATTTATGGTCACATTGAAGCTGTTGTTGGTATTACTCACAGCTTCTACTAAGGTTTGAGCAACGACACTGTTCTGTGGGAGTTGTGCAGAGCGAGTTTTCTGATTGAACACAACCTGCAGCTCTGCTTCAGTTCCATCGGCTCGGATTGGGAGACATCTGTTTCATAAAACCACTTGTCAAATAAAAATATGGGATGATTCTGTTGCTGTTTGTTATGGGTGATTTACACATGACAGTATTAACATTAGACAATACCAATTTTAAGACCATACAAAACACCAATGAACTACAATAAGAAAATGTTTTTACCTGAACAGTGTCACAATACAGTGGTCAAACTGAACAAATCTTGGTCTGTATATGAACTCACACTGCAAGAAAAAGCAACATTGAAAACCCTTGAGTAGCCTTCAAGCACAATTGTTTTAAAATGAAATTTAACTGAAACAAAAATATACATAAAATGAATTTCCGGCTTAACAGATGTGTCCTTCAGCTAAACATTTGTGTGTAATCATTAATGTGTAACATCTAGGGCTGAACGATTAATAGCAATTAGATTATTTTCCAAAATCGTTCAGCCCTTATTCACACTGTCGATTAATTTGTTCAATTTGCAAAATTACTCACCGTAGATACAACTCGTTGCTCAAGATCTTTGAACGGACTGCTGTTGGGGTTAGTGAGGTCAATTGAAAAAGAAACTTTCAAAGTGATTGAGATACGGTAAATAGGTTGAATGGCCAAAGTGGTGTTTGGTGTAGCAGTTGTTTTCGAGGAAGGTGTCGTTGCCTCAGTTGATG